CTCTTTGAATTCCGCTGTAATTTGATTTGCGAATGATAGTTGCCTTGATGAAATTAAAGGTGAACACGGTAATTAACAAACTGTCAGCGGTTTCGAAATGTTTGTTTTACCTGCTCTTTTCTTAGTTCAGCCAAAATTCTTGAAAACGTACAGAACAATGAAATAAGCACACGTAGTTTTCTTCAAGTTTCCACAGACCTTCCGCAAGTTTCTCTTTAGAACTTTCACCATGTAGCCCTACAAAAAAAAAATCCCTTCGCATAACAACACTTATTTAGATCACTTATATATTCCCGTGTCCGTTGCTCCATTTTAGTTTCAAGTTAGGTACTTAAAAACTCACTTGCCATTTCCATTCCGCCATTAATAGTCGCCCCATTACCTTTCAAGTTTCGCCTTTACATGGTGGAATACTTCATTTCCTTCTTGGTATTAGGTAACATGGTCACGTACGTATATAGGCTGATGACCGATTTATAACGCAACTAATGCGAATTGTGCGTGGCTAATCCCCGATCATATAGGGTTTGGAACATTCCGCCGGCGGGGAAATGAGGTTATCTCCCGGGTCGCCTGGCGTGAACTCCACACTAACCCAGAACATTCTCTTGTATATCTTCCATGTATTTTGTCAGTTTTGTCTTTGTTGAGTCAGGAATTTTTTTTTTTTTAATAGTATTGAACATAAAACCTTCCTCAATCCCTTTGCCAATGTTTTTGAATGGATTATAAGAATGGCTACTGATCGGGAAGTTTCCCGTCAAGAAAACATGAAGGCACCACGGAGCCAAACCGTTCCGGCCCGTTCTCTCACAGTTGAGAGATGATTTTTGATCGTCACTAGGTGTCTGATACCAAAACATAGGAAGGGCTACGTGGATTGCATAAGATTTTCAAGGCTACACTTGTCTTATTAGAATTCACGACAGCATGCCTTAACGACGGGCCGGCAGGTGCATATATTTCGCCGGCAAAAGCCGGTCCTTCGTACATTTTTCATTTTTAAAGCACTTGTAATGATATGGAGATATACAGCCGAATTAATGACTGATTGGAGCTCAAACTAATTGCGACCTCTACAGAGAGTGGGATGGCGTTTTGCGCAATTAGGGGGTTAATGGTGTGGGGAATACGCCACTCGACTGCTAGTTAAGTGTTGGGAAATTACAAACGGTACGTGGTAGTTCGGAAGCTACTTTCAAGGTTAAATTAACTACACTTCCTTTGAGCAAAGCCGAATAAAAACTCAAAGCCATGGTAGATGTGCAAGTTTCTCACATGTTATCCACCATTCTACCGCCGAAATCTGACTGAAAAAAAAAATCTTTCTGGAACACTGCCTTGAAAAGCCCAACGGCGGACTTTGTGTGTTGTTATGCCAGTACCTTTTTATAGTTCCACGCATACTAACACTCAACTTTTCGCATCTTGGGCTGGATAAAATGCGTAGTTTCGTTGTATTCCCCGTAGTCCTGGTATGCACAAACTCCTACAAGACGGAGATAGGGTAAACACTAAACAGTAGGTTTTAGCTCCACCATTCCAAAGAGTATCTGTAATTACGGTCGTTTCACGTGGTATGGTCTGTTTGATCATTGATGAGACTTTTGACTGACTGAATGACGGCATTATACTTCAGGGAATTCTCCCTCTGGTGGCGCTTCTTATTATTCGCAGTTGGTATAAAATTGGTTTAAAGGAATGGCATTACATTCAGTAACTTTTTAAAACGTGTCTGCATCTTTAAGAGGACATTTTGTTTGTTCAACAAACTTGTTTGCAACAGGGGCTTGCTTTTCCCCCAATAAATATGGCATAAAGGTTATCGAAACTTGAGCTGGCACTTAAACCATAAAGTTATTTACCATTTATCATTAGTTGAACAATTCTTTGTGATTAACTTTGGTAATGAAAGCTATATTTTGTCAAATTATCCCATTTTCCAAACAAAGGATCCAGCAGATCAGAGATCGTGGTTGACATGGCAAAATGGTTACTAATTATTGTAAGTGGATATCGAGGCAACCCGAAGGCCAGAATCGTAAATTGCCCCCTAAAATATGAAAAAAATGAAAGGGAAAATACGGCAACAATTACCTTAAGTGCAAGTGCTGATTATATTCACAAATAGCACCAACACTATTACCCAAATGGACTTGAAATTGACATATTTGTCTTGCGGGCCTACAGAGTGTATGGTTAATAGGCTCTTCCTACTTCTATATTGCTAAAGTGTTCGCCGAGAAAGACTTGAATACCAAACGCAGTACGAAAATACGGAAAATCAACAGCTACAGCGAACAAGCCCTCGCGCAAGCCATATGGAGATGGAACGCTTTTTTTGTTAATACAATCATGAAGCTATAGGGCCTAGCTGTTTGCATATAGCATCGCAATGTGGAGCTTTTGAAATTAAAGTAATTTTGGTAGCGTTGCCGTTTGCAGGGTAGAAACTTAGTGCACACAAATCTACCTGCATAATTTGTTTATCATCCATTATCTAATTATTTTCTTTTGTGATCTCTGGTTTGCACACAAGCCTTCATTTTCAGTTCTTCCTCCCTTATCAAACAAAACCTCTAGCGTTGAGACAATAAGGAGTCGTCATTGGCAAACTGTCTACGAAAGTGTCAATGCGAAATGCTCGCCCACCAGGCCAAATTTAATAATACCACACCTTTTTATTTCACAGACGGAGAAATTCAATAACTGACTTGACTTGGGCGCGAGTGGCACTATCGATTTGTTTTTCGACACTCCATGCGTTTCCCGCCGCGTCGTTTTAATTACCGTGGGAGTTGTTTAACGTTAGTTCGTACATGTACGTCGCGGAGGGCATGTGCGTGTCCATCATCTTATGGTCCCCATTGCAGCAATTTCCTGCCCAACTAGGGACATTCTGTGGTTGTTGTGATTTCAACCGATATAATTTCTGTCTTTCTTGCATCATTTTGACCTTGGGTTTGCTGCTATGCTAGTTGTCTGGAGTCCGTAAAATTTTATTATTGTCGAGCATGATTCACTGTACATCGATGACTGTTTTCATCCAACAGCAGTGTTTTCGTAACGCCTACACGTCTGCCGTGTTGCCGTCCATGTAATTTCCTTTCTGTAGTGGTTGCCACATTTCGCTCAGTCAGCCATTCTGAACTAGTTCAGAACACATGGACCGGTCTTTAATTAGCGCTAGCGGAGCACCATGCAATTATTATGCACGCATTGTGCACGCAGTTCCTGAGGCCAGGGTATAATGTCTGCTCGTCGTGCTCTGCGTGGTGGCCTTTGTCACCTCTCACTGGTCCTAATGTCAAGTCCAAGCCCCCCCCCCCCCCCCCGGCAAGGAGCTCCTTCCCTAGCAGCTGAAACTCATGAATATGTATGTTTCGAAGACGCAACACTTCCGTGAGGGTTTGTTGTTCATAGACCCATAGGACCGTATTTACGCCTACCGCAAGAGGGCGGTATAGCAGCAATGATGTGCAGAGCTTAGCCATAAAGTACGCACCACATCTTTGGCAAAACATGTCAACCACGCTCAGAGTCAGTCTGTGCTACTTGAATGATTCAAACATTTCTTTCAATAGCTTACACCAGACGCGGACACAAAACTGATAGACAACGTGCACGAATGAACGGATATTGTTTCACTGTATATGTACGATGATGGTTCTAATTATACACCTTGATCACGTGAGGATATGTAAATAATTTGAAAAGGAGCTTTTCTTTTAAATGATTTTATCATTCCACTCACACTATTCATTCGATGGGATTGCTTCTATAGTATAGGGTATTGTTTATCACAGCACAATGGTGAATATGGACCAAAACTTAAATGTGGTAGGACTACTTGAATTTTTTCCAAACATGTTGCGATCGACGTGCATGTGTATGCTGATATGCTAACTGACTGATCAACAATTTGATTGACTATGGTGATTGGGATTTCTCAAAGAATCTGGTGTTCATTGGTCACGCGTTGTACTGGACAAACCCGGCAGACACACTTATTTGCAAGTCTGCGTCACAGACTCCATTAAATAGCGATCAAACGTCAAACCGCGAAATTTGAGCAGCGGTTTACATATATTTTCGGCGATGGTTTCCACATGACTTTAAGCAGCATAATGTTTTTCGCATTAATTTTTTTTTAACGCTTACCTCCAAGGGTACAGTGGCATGAATTATGCATAATCTTGTTGAATTAAGCAGAACGGGTTAATATACAAAATAACGTCGATGACTTGCAGGGGATTCACGTCTGATTGCGAGTGCAGATCTGTAAATAGCACCAGAATTGCCTACGCGGGCCAAATCACAATTTGTATGGCCTCAAATTCTCAAGGGTTAGAGCATTTTGAGGGCCGTGAACCTGAGGATTTAACCAAAAGAAAAGAATGGAAGACTGCGAGCTCGTATTTCTTTGAAATTCTGATTAAATTAGGTCCCGAAGTGGCTCTATTTTGCAATGGAGCGTAGGCGTCTTTTTTTTTCAATATAGCAATGCGCTTTAGGACTGCTTTTAGGGGTGATCATCTTTGGATCGAATTTATCAATTAACCCCCCAAAGTGAACAGATTAAATAGAAAGATGATGAAATAAGTTTTAATTCGACGGGTGTTTCAAACACCTTGGATAGTTTTGAGTATTTACAATAATTTGTGGAAGTATACGCGTAATTACCATTGGGTTCTATGAAAGTCTTGTATCTCCCATGTATCTCCAAACTGTCGCCGTTACAGCGCCCTCATTTGATCGGCACATTCGTACGCCAAAGACACTCGGCACAAAGGAAAATGTGGTGATTGTGTGTTTGCTTAAATAACGCGTTCAGAACGAATGCATGGACTCGCATCGCTATTCGAGGGTTGAGGCGAACTGCTGATGAAAGTATAACATCAAAATAAAACCTCTTGTGCATTGATATTTTCTTGAAACAAAAAATATAAATGGAAATATCAATTTTTATTGATTGATGATTTTATTGTCTGTCTTCACAGGAGGGGATGACTGAAGAGTTAAAAGAACTCTCCATTGAGGAGCTTAAGGAGGATCTCATCGATGAGTTACTGCAAGACCTGGTCAACAGTGCTCAGAGGATGATCAGAGGAAGTCCAAACGGCAACTTGGTCCATCTGGTGTCTGGGTGGCAATCACCGCGCCAAAAGAAAGGCTTCTTTGGAGCCAATCAAATGACCAACGTGAAGAGTGGCTTTCACAAGAAGAGCGCCGCCGACGACAGCGATCTGTGGGGTGCGTACGTTGAGGACAAGAGGGGGCGCACTACCTTCGACAACCAGTTGACCAGCCTGAACAGCGGCTTCCATAAAAGAAGCGACGGCGAGTCAGGTCTTTTTGAAGAGGACAAAAGAGGGCGTAGTTCATTTTCAGGTGCCAGCCATCTGACCAACATCAACAGCGGCTTCACTAAAAGGGAGAACGATGAAGCAGCACAAGAGGAGGCGGTCAAGCGAGGACGATCTTCGTTCAACAACCAACTTACCCACCTTGCCAGCGGCTTTGCCAAGAGGAATGACGAAGAAGCGGGCCTTTTCGAAGAGAACAAAAGAGGGCGCTCTGCATTCTCGGGTGCCAGTCACTTGGTCAATATCGGCAGTGGCTTCAAAAGAGGTGGCGACGAAGCAGCACAAGAGGAGGTGGTCAAGCGAGGACGATCTTCGTTCAACAACCAACTTACCCACCTTGCCAGCGGCTTTGCCAAGAGGAATGACGAAGAAGCGGGCCTTTTCGAAGAGAACAAAAGAGGGCGCTCTGCATTCTCGGGTGCCAGTCACTTGGTCAATATCGGCAGTGGCTTCAAAAGAGGCGGCGACGAAGGGGCTTGGCAAGATAGTCCCGATAAGAGAGGGCGCTCGGCCTTTTCGGGTGCCAGCCAACTGAACCATCTTGACAGCGGGTTCAAAAGAGGCGGCGACGAGGGGCACTGGGAAGAGAACAAGGACAAGAGAGGGCGTTCTGCATTTTCGGGCGCACGATCACTGACCAAAGTCGGTAGTGGCTTTAAGCGAGATGGGAATTTCAATACGGGGCCCATGGTACATATACCCAGTGGGTTCGTTGAGAAGAGATCAGTCAAGACGCCAGGAGCATTGTAGTCAGTGAGCTATTGCATCATCAGTTAAATAAATTACGAACTTGATTAGAGACAAACACCTGAGCATTAAAGCTATAGTCCATCATTTGCAGCCATCCGAAAAAGTAACTGGCGTATTATTGTTGAAAAACATACTTGGTTGAAAGATAGTAAATGGACTAAACTCCCTGTGAAATTAATCTTTCTGACACGCTATCATTTTCAAGTAATCAACGGAAGAAGGCCTTTCCAACGGTGCGTCTTAAGACGCACCGTAGGAAAATTTAAATTATTAGTTCGTTTTGTTATTCGGCGCAGCGCGCGCAAGCATTGGCACGACGCACAGGCGCGCGCAGTTGCTATAATTCGTCGGATCAGTGCGCGACATCGCGTATAGCTGCAATTCAAAACAATTCAAAACATGATTCAGCAACTTTTGATTTGAAATTGAGATCATAGAATGCTGTTTTTCTCGGAATATACAGCTGAAGCGGAGCTGAAACTTCATCAGGTTAGTTGTTCAGTATCTTTCATTAGATTTTGAACACTTTTGTTGCTTCAAACGATCAAAATGCACAAATTACAAATGATGGACTACATCTTTAACTGTCTGTTCCGTTATTTCCCAATGAAGGGATTTATGCATAGAAGATTCAACTTGGAGCAGCTCAATACGGTCAACCCAAAGTCAATCCCAGCGTTTTGTGACTATTTCTTCGTTCATATTTGGACGATTTTGGAGGAAGATCACATCACATCTCTTCTATTTTTCCGCACAATTTATGATTTGTTAATAAACTCTTATGAATCACGAATACAGTCAAGCTGTTGTACAAACAATTGTTTCTTGTGTAAAAGTCATTAAAACTCAACCCGAAATTAGTTTTCTGTAAACAAATAATGTTTAATCCAGATAACTCAGTTAAACAGCTCAATTGGGTGTGTACATGTACATAGGCTAACGAAGATGTCATGTAAAAGCGGAGCCGAAATGCAGTCGGTGCCCTTACTGATACATTAATAGTGCATTGCTCTTACTAATAGTTTCGTGTTTCATACAAACGCACCTTGAAGTTTAGATTATTTACTCAAAATACCTGGATGAACACGATGATGAGCTAAGATATTTGTGAATGTGTACTATAATCACCAAAAGGGAATCAAGGATTAAAACACAAAAAAATAACACGAATTGGGTTTTGTAAATAGCTGGTTCTTTGGGCAATTAACAGACGTTGAATCTAGAGACGCGTTTATAATGAAGTTAACAATCTTACTTTGACGCGTGCACGTTAAAAACAGCCCCCCCCCTAAAAAAACCGCGATCATTGGAGCGCTGTTGTTATTTGCCTCCGTTAAGTATGGAAACTCATTGGGAAGTTTTCCCTTGTCCTGTTGCTTCGCTGAGAAAAGATATGGTGAAAAGAAAAGGTCCGTTTAGTTTGTTAACATGCGCATCATGTGTACAGCAAGATATAACAGATTTTACGTCTGGATAAATGACGTTAATGGCCACTGAATCTTGATTTTTATGCCATCAAAATTAAGAACAGGAACAAATTCGTACAGGAGTAGTCTGGGGCATGAAACTGAACGTACATGAAAGAGAAAAGTTTAATTCCTTTTATTTTATTGGGAATCTCCACTTTTTTTCCGGCACTCGGCGGATTATTCACCCTGAATTGAAAATCATAGCTGGAATACCGAACGTGTATTCCTCGGGCGTGTAATATCGAACTAGATCAAAGTACAGGTTGTATTGGCAATGTGAAAATGAGGGCGCTGTTTATGTTAAGATTCACAGCCATTGTCGAGTCATCCACGGCTCTATTTTTATCTTGGTAGACTTGAACAGTTTGGTTATCTCTTTGTCCCCCAAATCCACTTTTCCTTATAATACACACCTACTTATAATGCGCTTCATTGTACCGTGTAATCCTTATAATGCTTTCTTGATTGAAAAACTGCTACACATTTTACTCGTCATTTTTTTCCCCTGGAAATTAAAGTGTTGGCTTATTGTGTCCAATGTAAGATCAAGTTGGCGATTTGAATGAGTAAGACAGTATAGCTCTTTGACGTCATTATGGCGCCAAAAATAATTATTATTCTTAGTAAGTTTTAAGTAACCTCGAAGTTCACAAATGATTGGATTTGATGTGAGTGATCGCTCTTTCCAGTATATCCCTGTGATTGACATTCTATATACAGTATGTGTAAAATGTAATGACAAATAATAATTAAAAAAATCTTATTTTTAAGAAAAAAAAAATGTCGATCAGATTATGAATGCCGCAATGAAATAAAGATGTGGAAGTGAGGTGAAAACAAATACACAAGCAGCTGAAGAGGCGTGGTTTGTTCGTGAACCTTTGTTCTGGTGGGTGATTATTGAGTAAGTTATACCTTTTTCATCCAGACCCAGCATGCAAGCTTACCAACAACCCTCACGAGTTTATTCTTTTGAGAATCGGGACTTATGCACTCTGTAAGCACTGGAGTACTTTGCAACACTCGGTAAAATGTACCTGTGCATGAACCGCACTGCAAGCGATCAAGATTTTTTCGCAGTACATGTACATGTATTCTTGTCTATGGGTTCCGTGGACAAGTACCCCATCAACGGCCAGCAAAGGAGAGTTGGGGGAGACCTAGAGTGGTTCCCGGTCCATCCACTGTGTATTTCGAATGATCAAAAGTTATTGGGGCGGGGATTAGTCTGGGAGACCACACGTGAAGACGCTATGGCTTCGATTCGCTCTCAAAAGGGGTAAAAACGCGCCCTCTTTGTTGGCGCACGGAGCCCACACTGATGATTGTTCTGAATATACATGTAGTCGTATAAGTCAAGTACCCAACGCTTAATTTGAACCTGCCAGCCGATCCCGTGAGCCTCGGTGTTGTACTTTTAGACCACTGCGCTGGTAAGGAGGAGGCCGTAATAGTGGGGCAGATAGTGGAAATATTTGGAAGAGTAGAGTCTTTGATGATACAACCATGGAATTGGCACACAGTCAGAGTGTGTCATGAGAAAGATATTGTTTTGGCTATAGGGCCATCGCAGATTTGACAAAATTTTCAAGATGGCTGCATTTGCTTGTTTTTCTACCTATATTTTTTTCAAAGGCCAAATCTGCGATGGCCCTATTGTACACCTATGGACTGGCAATGAGGTCACTAGTGCACGTCCATGCGCCCCGGGGGACTGTGAGTGACCAGAAGAGGGTCCGACGGCCGAGGGAAATAGGACCATCTTCTCGTCACTCACAGGCCCGCGGGGGCATAGACGTGCACTAGTGACCGAATTATGCCAGTCAATATGTCTTTTAAAACTCACCTCTCTCCAAAATATAAAATAAGAAAATAAACATGTTCAGGATTTTATAATTGAAATGTTGTAGTTCAACTCATAAGCAATTCAACTATTAGCCTTTCGCCAAGGCCATCGTGGCTTAACTTGCCGGCATCAGACAAAGCGTCGAATACGCGAAGTGACTGGAGCGGGAGACCACACACGCGAGTGGCGAAGCCACGGGGGCCTTTTCCAACTTGTCAAGAATTTCTTATGTTTTTCTTTATAATCTCGATTTTTAAATTCCAACCAATCACCAGCCTTTTAATGCGCGCGTGGCTACTAGCCGGACGCGCCCGGATGCTTGCACAAAATTTAAAAACAAAAAATGCGAGTCTAGTTTTCCACGAGATCACGACCGCGTAATTGTTCTTAAATTATCTTATCTTAATTTTACTTATATAAAAATATTTTAAGGCGTTATTTGAGTTTATGTACTTTTTTTTCATCTGAACTTATTGCTATTTGCTCTTACGTTTTCCTTACTCACCCTTCTTTCACAATGGAAGCAACTACGCAAAATCCTTGTTGTGATAATTGGTTAACCTTTCAGCATCTTCTTATTTGCGTCAAAACTATGAACAATTCAACAAAATCAAGTTGGAAAAGGCCTCGATCGTGGCTTCGCTACTTGTACGTGCTGACTTAATCTTTGCTCCAGTCGCTTCGTGCTTTCGCAGCTCCGCCGCTCTAAGCCAGGATGGCCTTGGCGAAAGGCTATTCAACTATAAGCAATTCAACAATTAAAGGACCGCTTTTAGTTTCCCTTGATTCAGTTTTTGAGTTAGAGTTTTTGAGAGGGCGCTGTTAACAGTCAAACATTTTTGAGTACAGTGCCCGATCGGGCACTATCCGGCTCGTTAGTGTGACTTCATCTCAATTCAACCATGCGTACTTCACACGGTGTAGCATAACACGAATGGAACCGGAAGTTAACGAAACTCGAGTGTTTATCCAATGGGCGCTAGTTATCAGTGGTGCGCGCGCGTGTATGAGACTGGTTATCTATCTCACTTTTATTTGTGAATTAGACTGGTAATCTATCTCACTGACTGACTGTCACTTGTGAATTAAACTGGTTACCTATCTCACTTTTATTTGTGAATTAGACTGGTTACCCATCTCACTTTTGTTTGTGAATTAGACTGGTAACCTATCTCACTGACTGACTGCATGTGACGTAGACTGGTTACCTATCTCAGGGTGCCTGCCTGTAAATAGGCCAAAAATCCGTCCGCCGAGCTCATGAATAAAAGTTATACCCTCAAAATATTCTATAGTAGAGAGTTTTGAGAGCCATAAAATTGGGGAATTGAAGAGATATTGTAATGAACCTCTGGCCGGACTTCGGGCTTCCAATCCTGAGCATTTTGGATGCTATTGGGCTCGAAAGTGGCGCTCTTTTGCCATGTTCTGGAGGGATGGTTTTCAAGATGGCTACTTTTCTGCTTTGGGGAAAATAAGGGTCGTCTTCTTTGGGTGAGAATATCTCGAAAAGTCAATGGTCAACCCACCAAAAAATGAAAAGAAAGTGAAAGATGACACATTGATCATCATTTTTCTGTGCAGCTTGAATACCTGTGAGAGTTCTGAGTATTTTTAAAAGAATTTTAAAGTATGCGCATTTAGCACTAGTGTCTCTGGGATTTTGTTTGCAGGGTTGAACCCCTCATTGTCACTTGTGAATTGGACTGATTACCTATCTTACTGTCACGTGTGATTTAGAC